CAGTGATCGCATCTTCATCTTCTGAACTGCTACCTGGGACTCGCCTGTTCGCTTCTATCAGCAAAGTTTTGTTTCTCGGATTTCTTCTTCTCGGGTGCAACCATAAATCCTGGAGACATCATCATAGCGATCACGTGAAGAAGGAAGCCGCAAAGACCGAGCAGATGTGGTAGCCAACTGATTCGCTCCGTCCACGAAAATTTCACCCTTGTCAAACAAAACACACTGTCAAACATACTGAAGACGAAAAATGCAGTTCCTAAAGTTTGACCAAGTCACATGTGAATCATAGATGTGGATTACAATGTGAGAGTACTTAAATACTACTTGAATATTGGAAGTATTAGTAATGATAAAAGGCAATCACGTTTACCAGTGGTACCACACTTAATTTCTCTCAAGTCTATTTATTCATAGTGTTCTTAATTGTGCATTTCGTTAACTGTGGTGACATACTTCTGGTAAGGCCGTTTTAAGGGATTTTCATAGACTGCTACATTATAATCACCACAGGCATGTTTCCACCACAAGCTTCGAAAAGTGTTCTTCCGTGCCCAGTCTTCTTTCATACATGTACGGTTTAGAGACATCGCACGAAGGCCTGCTGTGGTGGCTTACTGGACAAAGTCATCACATGGGAGTGCGAAAACCAACCTCCGTACAGTACGGGAGGTTTGTATCAAGACCTCACGCAAGTACCTATGATTCAGATGAGGAAATATCTACCTATTCAGGCCTAGCATGCTATTATCTTTTTGATCGTCGGCTAATTTGGTAGCTGGACTCAGAACCCTTTAGAATGAGTCAAAATTCCATTGTGTCCAGCGTCTCAAGGTTTGAATATAGATTTAAGGCAAGCTTCAACGAATTTCCTGAAGGTTTTTATGAAAATATTTTTCAATAAGATCTTCAGAGGCTTGTAGTGTCCTTATTCCGAGCGCTTATCTCAACACTGGACCTCTTGCGATTGTCTGAACGAACGCACTAGGGCTGTCTGGCATTCATGCACTCGGCAGTCCAAATGGTCAATCAAATTCAAGGCTGAGTCAGACGTGTCCTGGATTAAGACGCTTTGACGCATTCCCTCGAACACTCAGGACGCCACTCACTTGGTGCCGGGCGTGCCCTCGCCTGGCTGCCAACTCTCTCTAACCCTTGTCCAGTTATTCTATACAGAATATATTTTCCTCCCCACTGGCGTCCACCCTCTCTTTCGTTTCCGGACCGCGCTTGAAGGCCATGGTTGCCTGTGCCTTTCATTCTCGGCATAGGCTTCTACAACAGACACTGTTGATTGGGTATATCGTTGGGTATGGTACTTTAGCTATCTTAAAACGAAGGCCGGAAGGCTTCATCGTGTCCGCTATCCGAACGTCTACAGGAATGCATGTGAATCTCTAATGCGCCATGATTTTAACTGAATTGCTTGAATTGAGCAGAGACTTGGCGCGGATCCAGGACGGAGAAGGTGTTCGTGCGTGTAGATGAAGATATCCGTTACCCCATCCTCTACATCCGCCGACTCCCCTTTGATAACATTCGTCCAACTCACTCTCTGAGTTAGCACTTCCCACAGCCACTCTTGCGGATGCTCATAGCGGGTAATAATAATGATAATAGTAATAATTTTTATTAAAGTCCCATCGGGGTCCCAAAAAGCAAAAATAAATAAATAAATATACAGTAAATAAATTAATGAATTATAATAATAATAATAAATAACTAAATAATAAATAAATAAAATAGAGAAAGTAAAAATAAATTTAAATGAGAGTTTTAGACGAGGTAGGCAAAATCTTTACAAAATGCAATTCATGGTTTCTGAATAAGTAGTGCGTTATGAAAAATAATTAGGGAGGGGTGAAAGAAAACTCCGCATAAAAATTTAAAAATGATTGGATACATTTTACAGCAGAAAAAAAACCCTCGCTAGAAAATATTATCAGAAAAATGCGGTCAGCATTGGCTTGCATGTGGCGGTATATATCGGGTTATAATCGGAAATCGTCAGGGCAGAAATAAATGTCAGCCTTGAAGGGAAAAAATCCGCCTCGGGACGGGATCGAACCTGGGCACGAGAGTGACGTTGAAATTGTCGCTACCACTACGCCTCTGACGCGTAGGGGCGTCTGTATCACCTCTTATGTTGACGTACTGCCCCTTTGATGTAACTCATCCTTTCTTGTAGCATTAGATATCAGTGTATATACAAAATGCGCTTCCGTTTCTGTTATATGCATGCATATATACGTCGATATGTTCGTACCTTTAAAGACAAAGGAGACTGGAGTGCAATTTCTGGCTTATTAATCATTATTGTCATCATCATCATCATCATCATCATCATCATCATCATCATCATCATCATCATCATCATCATCATCATCATCATCATCATCATCATCATCATCATCATCATCATCATCATCATCATCATCATCATCATCATCATCATCATCATCATCATCATCATCATCACCCATGACTCATTATTTGGTCACGACTGGCTGATGATAACTCGTAGGCCAAAAATAACATTCCAGAATAGATGGTCTTAGTCGGTGACATACAGACTAATTGCACTACCAGTTACTGTGCGACTGCCCTTGAGGGTTTTGTTTCACCCCGAAGACACACCGGGACGAGCTCGTTCGCCAACCTGGTCGGTGAGGGTCCCTCAACCTTTATATATACATGATAAAGAGAAGGCTCTTCGGAATAATTGAGTTGTACTCGTAAATTTTCAAGTCAGTGACACCGACACGTCTTCAGACGAAATGAACAGAGGGAAAAGTGAAATCGGCAGACCAGGTCGGCTGGCGCGACAGGACAGACAACGACAAACAGACAGCTGATGCGTGAGAGGGGTGGGGCACCGAGTTATGGTAGGCTGTGGGGCAGGGGGAGGGAAGGAATAACCGTGAGGCTCCCTGTGTTGGAGGTAGAGAAAACGCGGGGGGATTGCAGATCAGTGGGAATGAGGGCGGCTGATCACTGATGCGGGATGAGGTCAGGGGGCAATGCGCCGGCGTTAGATGTGTTAGGGGTTTCGGTTGTTGTTCACCGTGTCACAAAAGGGGGGGACGGAATGGCGAAACAGCATACGTCTATGTGGCCGAGCGGGGGTTAGCAGTTGTTAGGGTGTGGGAAAAAGACATTGAGCGTGTACGTAAGCCCTCGTAATGAGCGTCTAGATCGAGGTGGCGGTTGATGCTGGTCGTGCCAGAATGCGAAGCTTCGAGAAATTTTCGCGCCTGTCTGGTGTTAGCCCTTGCGATCACTTCAGCACCGTCCCAATTTAAGCGGTGGTCGTGCTCAAGGGCGTGCGCAAACACGAGGGACAGAGGATCACGTCTGCGGAGGGCTAACTTGTGCTCGTTGATGCGAGTCCCAAGACATCGGCCTGTATGGCCAATATAAACACAAGGACTTGGAGTTAAATCTCCGGGACATGACTTTTTAGGGTCAGCACCGAAATTTCAATGAACATTCGAGTCGAAGACAATCAACTACTGTGGAATAACCACGTAATGTCCATTCTACAAACAAGTAGTACTACGAGTAGTATGAATTCCATATGGTAAAGGTATTATACCGTACTCCAAGTCCTGCACTGAGTAATTTCTGAAATTATTCACTTGATTATTCTCCGGAGTTCATATACCAGAAACCGCTAGAGAACGCTGGGGGTCCCACTGAAAAGCCGAACCCCTCGCTGCTGTGTCATGCAGCGGCAGAATATCGGCGAAACACGTGTCTGGACTTTTAGCAAGCATCTACGTCGGGAGTACGGTATAATACCTTTACCATATATATATATATATATATATATATATATATATATATATATATATATATATATATATATATATATATGTTGTGTTTATCATCCGAAGAAGAAGAAGTTACGAGTTCATGGACGGAAATATATTTGGACTGTTTTTTCGGAAACTCTCTCGTATCCATCATCAGGGTAGTGTTTTGTTGTTCCTGCTGGCCTTGATTGCTTTAGCCTTGATGACTCCTTGGTATTATATCCGTGCTCGAGGCACGAACTATGACATGCCCGTTCGCTGCTAACTAACGTCGACTTCTTCGAGATTGACCGCTGGTGGACTCATGTCATCTTTGACCCCTTGGTTGCCGTTATTACTGTCGGAGAGCCGGCATCTTGTCGATCTCCTCCTCGTGTAAGTTGATGTCAACCTCCTGGGCGTCGCGGTGAGGTGGTGACCCGTGCTGGTTACATGACCTCTAAAATTGATTCACAGACAGCAATATTCGCATCGTCATCAATTTACGACACCACCTTTGCTGAACGTGGACTTCGACACTACCAGTTCTGCATACGAGCCTAAAAAGTCCAATCTTCCAGCAAACGAAACGCTTAGAACAAAGGCTGAGTCTCACTTCGAAATTAGACTTTAGCTGTACCTTTGCTTCAATGCATTAGCTTAAATTTCTGTTAACTGTAATACCGTTAAATTCGACTAGGTTTCTGTTGTCTGAAGTCTCGAAGCATTCGCTTAGATTTCCGTTGCCTAAAGCTTCCCTGACATCTGAAAGCCTTAGGCCTTCTTTTGATTGTGTCTGTCTTCTGCTGCCAACCTTTCGGCCGTTGTTGTATCCTTGACTTTGGCGCATTGAGACATGGGAAATGTAGAAGTGTACGATCCATCAGTCACGCGGGATGAAAGAAAGGCGTGGACAGCGGGAACCGAACCTCCGACCATCGCCTCACGAGGCGAACGCCCAGACCCCTCGGCCATCGGCACCGACGGGACGACCTCAGAGAATATTAATTGCATTAGCCCCACGGTTGGGGAATGTGTCGGATTTTGCCATGAACATAGTGCACTAGCAACTCCATGCGGACCAGCATCGATTCACGTCGGGCAGGGAGGATCTAACGAACGCAGTACGCCAGAAGTGGTTCAAAACAGGACGGAGGTGGCCCGCAACGCAAATTATCCCGGGAAATTCGTCACGCCTACACAAGATTTTCTACCAGATGATGAACCATCAAATTGTGGTTCGCGGTGTAAATATTGTCGAGATCTCGCGTTAAACATTACGTCGTTGGAGACGAACATGAACCTCCTTATAGATCTCATTGCATTGTTACTAAAGTATGATAAATTCAAGTCAATTGATGAATTCAGCAGCAGCCAACAGATAGTTTCGAAACTGACAGAGTTGACTAACAGCAACCCACTAGTAGAGGGATCACCATTTCAGGAGATCGCTGACTGCAGAAATAAACAGAGTGCTAAGAGAAAAGGTAAACGGAAACATGAACATACAGCCTCACCCTCACCAAGAGCGATGATAAACGACACTCCAAAATCGCAAACTAAGTTGCGAAGTGATAATGGCAGTACACTCTCATCATTGATAACTACCCAGCTGAAGAACAATGTCCAGCTCACTGGCAGAGTAGAAGCTGCCCGATCTCCACCACAGAAGAAGGTAAAAGGATTCGACATAGAAAAGACTACCGCATGGACGGAAACCTCAGAGGAAATCCCGGAGAATATGACAAGGCATGATATTAATCCGCCACAGAAGAGCAGAAAGCAGACGCTCACTGCCCCCCGCAATGTGACCGAGGAGAACCAATGAACTAATAATAAGACTCAGACCGTTCACATGCAACTGAGGTCACATCAAAAGAAGCAGTTAAATCAAAGGGGACTGACGACTGAAAAGAGAGAGACGGAAATCGGACGACTTCGGAGTAGTCGAAGAAAGGAACTTCCTGGGGTGGAAAAGCAGAGCTCGTCTGAGCAATCGACAGAAACCTCCAACGCCAGCGTAGACACAGACGCGGCAAATGCGAATATCCTCTGTATTGACATAAAAGACAGGAGCAGTATTGCCCCAAACACGATACTATTAGCTGCAGAAAAGATCCCTGGAGTGGATGGCAACCAGAATGTCATCATGAATGGTTCGCCAGGAACTCCCAAGTCACCAACATCACGCAACCAAGACCGGCCGCTCCGAGAACAGTGCCTAATAATACAGGGACTTCAGGAGCCTCAAGCAGATACACCTAAAGAACGCGTATTAGCTGATCTCGGCTTGTTCCAAGGTCTTCTAAACACACTGCTTCAACCCGACGAAGAAATTTCCGTGTTGAAAGCCTTCAGACTCGGAAAGCGCTCTACTGAACCCGCTATTCCACCGCATCCTAGGCCCCTTAAAATTGTTCTGAGTTGCAAAGAGCATGTTGATCTCATCCTCTCAAGACGTTTTAGGTTAAAATATTCCCACCAAGGAGTTTTTTTTCAGCCGGATTACACACCACCGGAGCGGATAAAACGCCGACAGTTGGTTCTGGAGCTAAGGCTGCGACAAATGAATGGCGAACAAGGCCTGGTTATCTACAACAACTGCATAATCGAGCGATTGTCCCGCTTCATATGGACACGGCCCGTGCGTATATCGCCACAGCCGAGAAAATTGGCAAAGGCGGCGTTATAGCCGGCTTACCAAAGGAAAAAAGCTTAAATGCTTGTATTCCAATGCGCAAAGTCTGCTATCTAAATTAGATGAGCTTAAAATCTACGTTAACCAAACCTTACCCGATGTTATATCCATAACTGAAACGTGGCTGTCCGCGAGCGTAGACGATCGCGAAGTCGCTTTATCTGGTTATCACTTGTTCAGAAAGGACAGGTTGGGACGTCAGGGTGGAGGTGTGCTCGTGTATGTCAAATATGGCCTTTTTGCGTCAGAAAAAGAGGGACAGCTCGCGCGCACAACTGAAACGATTTGGCTCACCGTCAAAACGCCGGGGTCACAACCTCTCGAGATCCTGACGGTCTACCGCCCACCGAGGAACGACCCGCAATCAGACAGTAGTCTACTAGAGGAATTAGAAGCGATTTCGCTCCGACCCAATGTCATGATTATGGGCGACTTTAACGCTCCGAATATCGACTGGAATGTGACTTCTGCCCCGGGCTCAGAATTTAACTTTGATCGCCGCCTCCTAAAATCTGTGCAAAGATCGCATCTCACACAACACGTCTTATCCCCAACCAGACTACGCGAAGGACAACTAGCTAACTGCTTAGACCTTGTATTGACAAAGGCACCGGAAAGCGTTGATGTTGTAAACTGTCTACCCCCTCTCGGAAAAAGCGACCATGTAGTCCTACAGTGGGAGTATTCTCTCTTCTCTGTACCCGATCAAAGCATCGTGATTAGACGCAACATATGGCGTGGTGACTTCAACCAAATGCGTCTCGACATGCGTCGTAGAGACTGGAAATCAGCATTTACGGGGTGTGTCCTCAAGGACTGGCTAGAACTTAAGGCCATACTGAATGAACTTATCACCAGATACTGCCCTTTGTCGAAAAAGAAAATCAACAGCAGGCCCCGATGGCTTAAGAGTTCACTAAAAGTTGAAGTAAACCGTAAGCAAAAGCTGAGGAAAGCATATCTTAGGGACAAGACAACTGAATCAAGAAATAGGTATAAGGCTCAGCGGAATAGGGTAAAGTGCCTTGTTTACAAAGCCCGCCAAGACTTCGAGGGTAACCTTTTAAACTGCGCAGGAGAAAACCCAAAGCTTTTCTTCAACTACATAAGACAAAGTACTCGCAACCGGAATCCCATCCCTATGCTAAAAACTGATGATGGCGTTGAACTTTACAAGGACGACGAAAAGGCTGAGCATCTGTCCAGGTTCTTTCAGTCGGTTTTTACGAGAGAAGTCGCTGTACCCATTGATCACTGTAATGTGGACAATGTCCCGACAATTGACTCAGTGGTTCTCACAAAACCTATTGTTCAACAGGAATTACTGAAGCTAAAAGAAGGGACTTCGCCCGGTCCTGACGAAATACCGGCAAAGTTGTTAAAGGAATTAGCCACAGAATTGGCAGAACCTCTGAGTGTCCTCTTCCAAGCCTCTCTTGATGCAGGCAGACTGCCTCCTGAGTGGAAGACTGCGTGGATTTCACCGATTCATAAAAATGGCAGTCGCGCTTCCGCAAACAACTACCGACCAGTAAGCCTCACCTCCATATGCTGCAAAGTTATGGAGCGAATTATCAAACGCGAACTGATGCGGTTTTTAGAGCAAAATCATCTTCTGTGCGATGCACAGCACGGTTTCCGCAGAGGGAGGTCCTGCTTGACCAATCTACTCTACTGTCTTGAACAGTGGACCCGAGCGATTGATGAAGGAAACGTTGTGCATGTGGCCTACATAGACTTCAAGAAGGCCTTTGACAGCGTGCCACACCAACGTCTCCTACACAAGCTCAGCCTCATAGGGGTAAGAGGCAAGATTTTGAAGTGGATTGAAAACTTTTTGGTCGGTCGGTCCCAGACTGTTCGTCTTGGTGGCCAGCACTCGGCAGAGGTGACGGTTACGAGCGGAGTACCTCAGGGCTCCGTTCTTGGCCCTATCCTCTTCCTCATCTATATTGATGACTGTATCCATGGATTGGACTGCAAGATTGCCATGTTTGCTGACGATATAAAGCGTTGGACCGTCATTCGCAACGAGGACGATGAAGCAAATTTACAGGCAAACTTACACCGACTCGAAAAATGGTCAGGCCACTGGCTCCTCCCATTTAATGTTACCAAATGCAACATTCTGAGGATTGGCAGAACCAGCTCTGCGCACTGGTAGACGTACTATCTAAATCGCACACCGCTGCCGCTGGTAGAGGTTCAGAAAGACCTAGGGGTGTGGAAAACATCTTCACTAAAGCCATCATTCCACTGCTTGAAAGCAGCGAAATCCGTAATGTCTAGCTTATATCTCATTAAGCGGGCATTTGCCAAGTTCGATGAAGAGTGCTTCCGCAAGGTCTTCGGGATGTTTGTGCGCCCACAGTTAGAATTTGCCACTCAGGCCTGGAGACCCTGGACTGTTAAGGATCGTACCACCCTCGAAAAAGTCCAACGACGGGCAACCAAGCTTGTCAGAGGTCATTAAAACCTACCTTACAAAACCAGACTTTCAAATCTTAACCTCTTTCCCCTGGACTACAGACAACTCCGTGGCGACTTAATTCAAACGTTTAGAATGTTACGGGGTCAGGACTGCTGCCTCGCATCCGGCGACTTCTTTGAGCTGGCCACCACTACTAGCTTGAGAGGACACCCTCTGAAACTACGTGTGACAGGAGCGAGACTGGACGCAAGGAGGTCCTTCTTCAGCCACAGAGTGGTAAAGGCATGGAACACCCTACCTGTGGATGTCGTCATGTCCTCATCCGTGGACTCATTTAAGAGAAAGCTTGACCAGTACAGGGATATGTACCTCCACAGCATCAGAAACTAACGAATTCCCCCCTGTGCCACTCGCCCCATCCAACGTTTTATGTTACAAAGCATGCTGCTCCCTATATTTTAGTAACATTACGTTTTACAATTTTCGCTATCTCCTGACCGCCACATATGCGCTTGCTTTGATATTACTTGGCCCATTCATTGCCGTATTGGAAATTGTACAATTTTGACATAGAAGGCATTCACAGACAAATTCATACCAGTGACCAATGCTTGTTGTAGGTAATTACTTACCTAATTTTTTTCACACTTGCCTTACACATTGTTTTTTTTATGACGTTATTGTAACCAAAAGGGAGTTCAAAGGCGCTCGCCTACTTTTCCCTTAATAAATATGATCTGATCTGATCTCTCCTTTTCCTGCTGTCATAAACTTTGCGCGGTTGTTCTGATGGCCTTGTTCGTAGCGCCTTGTTGGCGGGATGCAGACCTATGGCTGTGTTAAATGTGCCAGTTGAGGGCCAACTTTCGAGCATCGGTCTGGCTAACTTGTCATTGGCTCAGCCGATTACCCTTGTTTTGTCAAGGGCGGGATTGTGGTTCTTCTATTGTTCGTGGCCATAAAACATGAACAGCTTGGCCTTGCGGTTAACTGCGAACTGGCGCTCAGGCAATCTTGTGTCAAGGCGTTTACCCGTTTCACCGAAATACCTAGACCAAAATACTGTAGACCATCGCCAATACCTAGACAAAATACCGTAGACCACCGCCGATTGCTCTGTCACTGTTAGCGGGTCTTTGGGCCTCATTATTTGCTGTCTGATTGTTGACTCTGGCTTATGAGCCACATCGATCCCAAACGGTTTCAGGATTCTTGGCGTCGCTTCAGATACTTTCTTCACATAAGCGATCGCAAGCCAAAGCTTAGCGTTTTCTCCTTTCGACCGCTTAAGGTGGGGCTTTCTAAGACACGTATGAAGGACTTCGGATAACCGTTGGCTTTAAATTGGGCGTGCAAGTACCTAATTTCCTCCTTCCTCCCATTATCGTCACTGAAGTGTGTTTGAACGCGTTGGAAGAGGGTTTTGAAACAGCTGCGTTTGTGACCAACGGGATGGTTGTTTCTGAGGTGGAGGATTCGCCAGTTACTAGTTACCTTGCGGTAGACAGTTGTCCTTATCTTCCTACCTGTCATTTTTGTCCTTTTTACGTCAGGGAAGGCCAACCAATTGCTGACCACTTCTTCCGTAGTAAACTGGATGTCGGGAAAGAATGAATTCAACAGTGCCTTGAAAGTTTCCACGTCGCCCCTTTTGGCGATAAAGAAAGTGCGTCGACGTATCTGACCCAGAACTTGGGAGGGTACGAGCTTCATCACATCCGCTCTGGCCTCTGCAAAACCGCTTCGGCAATTAATCCAGACAGAGGCGAGCCTATCGGTTTCCCCTTCTTTTGTTCGTAAACCTGGTCGTCAAACGTGAAGAAGGCTTTAAGAAACAGTTCGGTGAAACGTAGGCATGCCAATAAATACAATTTGAAGGCGAATAGTGCTTTGGAGAAAATAAAATATTTTGTTAAGTAAATTTTCGATGCCGGTACCCAAGGTCGTCGTCAGACTTGAGCAAATGGCAAAAACACTTAACATTCCAAACGTGCTGTCGTCTGCACCAGTTTGCGTGTGGGGGTTGATTTTCCCGTTGCATTACAATATACGGCATCACAGGCATCACATGGGACCTTGTAGGCGACTTTATTCTTGGTGAGATAACCAACCATATCTTTAGGGTGCACAAGCTGAGTGAGTGAAGTAATCGTTGGCCTGCGCGCCACTTTTATTTGGTGCTTCCTTAGGTGTCTTTCAACGAGTTCAGACACATTCCTTATGTAAGGGATGATTTGCCAAATATTAACTTAATGTGTTTGATTGGAACTCCGTATATTCTTTGCTTCTTTCTCTTATTGACTCATGCATCAAAGTACTTGGCGCCGATGGTCCACTGCTGGGACCAGCAGACAGGCCATAACCGCTTCATCGGACCGGATTTCATCAGTAACTCGCCACCCGTCATTCTCTGTCGCTGCACATCGGGCTATTTATTCACTCCGGAATGAGCACACACCGATCTATTTGTTTCCCAAAGTAAACAAGCTCCGTGTGTGTGTGGCAAATTTCATGAACAGGCAGCCATCTACCAGGCCGAAGTCGACTTAGTTATAACAGCTGCGAGGACGGAGAACAGAGAATGCGGGTTGACTGATACAGTACTGTTTCGGGCTCATTTTGCCTTCATTCAGCCCATCATAACCCTGACTGTTGTTTTAGCGCATTGTTTCGGCTTGGAAGCATTGACGACCGAGTTCGCACGAACACTACCTTCATCCTAAAAAGATAACGTCGCAAGTTCAATAGGAGCACATGAGTCTGCTATTTGGCAGTTGGTGTCGTGTCGATGTAAGTTATCTCGGCAGTTGGAGATAGGCATGCCCTGTCGCGTCAGCGACTAGTGTACTGCATAATACAGTTGTTGATTGGCTGCTGTTTGCTTATAGCGTCGTAAGGTCGCGCTTGCGGATGCACCATTATTTCGTGACGTTGACAAGGCACGCATGCTGTGTGTTGCTTCATACGTACTGTCAATCGTCTTTTCATTTCTGCCGAAAATTTCTATCCTACTGGTGTTTATTCTGCTTCTCTTCTCATTGTCCGTAATCTTTGCCTAAAGAAGGTGCTTACGGAGGCATATAAATATAATTTGTCATCGAACCGTTGAACAGTTTCGCAAGTGTTGCCATTATCCAAGAATTTGCAGTGAGTCCTCACGTACAGGTTTCTGTTAAGTTATCGAATAACAATAGCGAAGTTTCTGCAAGCTACAGTTGCTTGTCCAGACGGAGGGAAGAGGATGCTGTTCAGTTGATGGTACCA